TAATGAAAAACATGATTGATGAAGGAATGTTGAGATGGAATGTCTAAATGAGGAGTTTCATTGTACCACCACTATGATTACAATCTCTGCTTGTCTGATAAAGCTGGAGGTGGAAGCAACCAAATTAGCTATCTCACAATCTCAACAGCTTGCACCCACACACAGTGCTGTGCATTAGCAAAGGGAATTACCCAGTATTGCACAACTTCTAATCCATCATCTCTCACTCACTGAATTACAATAGCCACATACATAGACCAGACCCTGGAACTTGCTCAAATCTGGAAGATCTGGTCAAAGAGCAGAACACTTCTAAGCATCTTAACTGGGGGAATACTCTTTAAGATCACTCAGCAATGTTTGCAAAGGAAACCAATATAAGATGCTATGGATTGCAATCTCCCAATTTTACAATGGACAAGCACATTCGGTTTAGAGAAAGAGATAAGAGGTATGAATAGGACCATGAGCATTGCACAGAAACTCAGCATCAACCTAAGAAAACAAGTGAAGGTATTATTCTTATAAGCTGTTTTCATCCAGAAAAATAGGTAGTTTCAGTTCTGAAGGTTGCTGCAGGAAAGCAGACTCCTGACAAGCATAAAAATTATACTGGTGCCTTTTTGTTTATTTACTTTATCTTGCCCTCATTTTTACAAAAATGCAGTGCAAGACAAAACAGCACAATTTAAAAAATATTCATGGTCTCTTTGGCTTCAAGGCATGTGATGGACTGTGTAATCCTACAAGAACGCAAGTTTTGTTTTTATGTAAAATATAGGAGACCAATTAACAAGTCAGAATTCATACAGCAACAGTCCTCAACACTGAAAGACCGCCTAGAAAGCTTCAGCCTTCTAAACACACTGAGTCTTGAACCCGACACTGATAAGCTCAGTCCCTGACAGCTACAGTTCACTCCCTTCAGAACACGGGTCTCTCTTCACTGTAAGCTACCCTGTATTATCCAGAAAATATCAAAACCTAAATACCACTTAAAGAGTCCTGTAGTCACTAAAAAATCCATTTATACAAAATACCAAAACATTTACTGCATAGATATAAAAAAGTATTTTCTTGTGAGCTGTAGTAAAAGAGATTGGATAGCGAGGTATCTTAAGTATATGTCACTATTCCCCAGACCTTAAGACAAACCATTAATATTTATCACGTTATTAGTTCAATAAAGGGGAAAATTATACAAAATAAAAAGCTCAGCTGGAAATACAAGCTAAAGACAAAGACGATATGTACAACATTTATGCACGCGCTTTGTAAAGACCACAATGAAAGCAGGTTTGTCAGGTTTGTCTGGTGATAATAAACAAACATTAACATGCTAGAAGATACTGCATACACCGTTGACTACTTTTCAGCTACAAGATGTGTATAAAGCATGGGAACACTTTGTCTTTGCTAAACTTTTTTCACTATGCAAAAAGTAAGATATGCGATTCAAGGCCTTACATTACATTAGCCATCATGTTGGGCACAAAAAAATACATTTATACCTATTCCACTCCTGTGCTCTCCTGATGTTCATAACTAATCATAGACACGGCACCACTCATGGTATTGTAGTCATGGTGTACAATAGTTAAGTCTGTTACATTTACCTAAAACCTACAATTTAAGCAGCAGAATAAATGGTCCAATAAGATTTCTAAATGATATAATAAGATGTCACTTTTAACAGTCTAAAAATCAAGTCTGTTTGCTCACAATATCAAAGCTACAAGGAAGTTGGAGGAACTGCAGGCAGAGTTTGTGGTCAAGGCTCCCTGCTTTTATGATTACCAGCATCATCTGAGAGACATTTTAGAGGACATTGTCCACATTCTCTGTTAAAATGCAAAGAGTAAAGATATTTTCTTACTGTATTTTTACAGTACAGAAGAACATGAAATGCCTCCAGTTTTTTATGTTGTCACTTTTGCCGGCATTACCAGAATAATCAAAAACACTTGTAGAGTAATCCATGACTGTCATTCATGCATATTTACTCAGGTCTATAGAAGACAAAATACTCAACAGCCAATACAGGTTGATAAAGGATCTAGGAATAAATCACCAAGGTACTGTAACGAAATGCCAGATTACTGTTCCAGCTGTTGCACACAGTGTCTGGAATTTCAAATCTATCACCTTGGATGCGTGCATTTACAGAACACAGCCACCTCAAACAACTAGAATCCAGCGAGGTATAAGGAGAATGTGGTGTGAAGGAAATGGAGGGGTCTTGGGATGGTTTTAAAATGCATCTCTTAGGACAGTTCAGATCCCTATAAAGGCAGAATGAAGCTCGAGCTTGTCTGCTTCTTCTCCTGCACAGCTGATACAGTGTCTCTGTTCCGCAGGGGCCTGTGGCTTTCAATGTCTGACAGTGCAGGATAATGTTGTCTGTAGCACATGTAGGAGAACGTCAAGCCTATCAAAGACCCAACCAGCACATCTGGGGAAAAAAGGGTTTTAATTCATTATAGGGTTATGAATGCTCCTTACAGAGTCTTAAGTTGTATGAAAAGCTGCAGACTCAAACAGCGGAGATAATGTAAACGAACCACCTTCATGCAGCAATAATTAAAATGAAAGTACACTCCTTTTTATCCAAGTTTATGTAGTTTTATACCTGGGCTATCCCACCCGGGTCCTGGAGATCCTCTATCCAGCAACTTTTGGTGGCCACCATCACATTGTTCCAAACTGGCAATCTCATTGTGACCAGTAATGAAGATTAAGCAAGTACTTAAGAGATCATTTACGACCACAATCGACTCTCTTCAACCTTCAAGGACCAGAGCTGTTTTCACTGAACTGATTGCTTGTCATCAATAACCAAACAGGTGTTGCCATTCTTTAGAAAATGGTGACATATAACACATGGGTTTCCAGGACTAGGGCTGGAAACACCTGTAAACTGATTGCAGTGCTCTCTGAGAGCATCCTTGTTTGAAGGTGGCATCTACTGTTTTGCTGACTGGAGCAGCTGGGGTAAAGTACTGTACCTTGCTTGATCCAATGGCAACTGCTGTGAACACATGATGGATCCAGAGACACAATTGATACTCCAGGCCACCCAGACCTGTTCTGCTCTACAGGACTACTGCTAAATTTCACAGTAAGATGAAGTACCATTCCTATTTGTTTTGCTTTTTTGCTACAAATAAAGCTTTGAAAGCAACAGAATATTGTATTATAATACCTTTTGAAGATATGCTAAAAGGTAAGCCGGAAACCTAATACTTTGTATATATTGAATTCAAGCAGAACAAAAATAAATTGTGATTGGTTTGTGAGATAGATCAGAACTATCAACTCATCTTCACCTTGAACACTACGATTCCTTCATACTGCAACAAATTGAGTGCTGCAGACCGTCTGCTACTTACGTAAGGTACATTTAAGCTTGAAATGATCACTTTTGAGTGCTAGAAGTCAGATTGGCACAGAGTTACCTAGAAGAACATGTTAAATGAGACTGCTTTTAATTGATGAGAACATTAATACGTGTAATATGCAAATTTGTAACAATTAATTAAAAGCCCTCATCTCTGTTTTCAGCTGATGGCAAACTGCATAACAATATACATGTCCTTCAAGGACAAAAGTCCTAAACTAATGTCAAATCACTTCACCCTGCTGGTGATAAACTGGCAATGCTAGATTTTGAAAAGATCATGGACAATATTGCTAAGGAACAAGTAAAAGTGTATTCCATGCAGAAAAGAAAACAAATGAGACACAAAGTTTCAGCTGTGGAGCCTTCTTCAGGTGTCAGGTGTCAGCCGTTGTGTCCCATTTCTTTTCTTTACTGCATGGAATAAACGTTTTCTTGCTCCTTTGCAGCCTACGCATGCTGAAGCAGCTACCTACTCGAACGTCTAAGAGAGAATATTTACTAGTAATGATAAGACTAACAATGATGCTTGCAGTCTGTCAAGTGTACTTGCAGACATGGTTGGGACCAGCCTGCTGCAAATGAAGAAGCTCACCTTGCCAGTGGTGCTTATAGTCACAGGTTCTGGAGAGGGCGATCATGACTGCAAATAACAGGGGCATCAGGAAGGCACACAGCCTCCAAGCTTTCCCCTGGCCTGCTGGGCTGAAACAGTGCAGCTTTCCTGCCAGATAGAAGGCAGTGAAACCCAGGCCAGAAAAGGCAACTAGAAAGCAAGAGAAAGCATGGGTAAGAGGACTTGACAGTAACACAGTGAGATGAACAATTCAGACACAGGTTAAACTGAATGTCCTGTCCTATGCACTTAAAACATTAAACTTAACACTCAAAATGCACTGTGCTGAACATGTCCACCACACCTGCCATGGACAAAGGTATATTTTATTTACAGGTTAGAAGAGGGTGCCAGAGTTTGGTTGGCAAAGGAACAAGCAGAGGTTATTTAGACTGTGGAATCTTCCTCTGGTGAGTAAAGAAGGGTGGGAAAGCGCAGAAACATATACAGTACATGCACCTCTGGCCAATTCAGGCTCAGTCAGAGGACATCATGCTTGCCCATTTAAAGCACTTCCTGTAGAAAGCTTCCTGCTATTGAGGCAGAGGACACAAGAAGAGAACTGGGCAGTCACTGACAGGGAATTATATTTTACACTTTTACACTACAGAATTCTACACTTTGTTTTTGTTTTTTTACTTTTGAGCATGGAATTGGAGCGGTCAGCAAAAAGACAAACTGGTTTAATATGTATTTGGTCTGGGACTGCAGAGATGACACAATGAGATTAACAAACACAATCAAAACATGTAAAAAGACAACCATTTTCAAGGTCCATGAAAGTCTGCATGATTTTGGCAGACTTCTACAAGTAAATAAATATTTTTTGACTTATTAAGTTAAATATTGAGTTATTGCTTTTTGATCTAGCATAATATCTGATATTGTGTCTTCAATTCCTAATTATTTTTTAAAACGTTTTATTTATTGATGAAACGGTTTACAAGTTAAATATATATATATATTTCATGTTTTCTTTTAGTTTCAAATCGCACATTTTAGAACTACATTGTCCCAGCAAAGATGGGGAGTTAAATACAGAAATATATTTACTTTGTCAAATCCATATTGTTAATTAAAGGAAAATAAAAAGTAGTCTAGACAGAAATATTACTTCACTTTCTGAATCTGGTCTTAATGGGGACATGCATTTTATCCAGGTTTACCAGTATTTGTTAACCCTCCTGGCTAATTTAAAAGAGAATTGTATATTTTTGGATCTACATCTTATTTGCAATATCAATCCGCTGTTCAGATGTTGTAATTAAATTATTCCAATACTAATTATTCTTTTCTCAGAGTATGTCAAGACGGTGTGCTATGCCATTACATTTTTGCATACCTATTAGTAAATATAATCCTGCCGCCTGCTATTAAAAACACTACAGGTGTGTGCACTGCCATTGCTTGTCCAAGTTAACTCCTCTGCAAGGCCCTACGACGCACTGTCTGCAACACTACTCGCTGTGACGGGAGAGGGACTTTACAGGAAGAGTGGCCACTGGGGAAGCTTTTTCTGCCCTCCATCACAGTTTCAGCATCGCCACTGCAGCGCATCTCTGGGTTCATCTGTCCGTCTGGGAAGCAGCGGTAGAAAAAGTCCGGCCGCGGTCTGAAGAGCAAGCAAGAATAAAACAAAAAGGTTTCTCATCAAAAACATGAGAATAGACCTTCCAGAATGCTGACATATATGCACACATGCGAGGGGGTTGATCTAACTCATCTGGGCTTTAATAATCACTCCTTCACAATGCCCAGTATCCTCCCCACTTCTATTTAATCACTCTCCTTTCCAACAATGAATATTACAGATATTAGTGTCTGCCCCCTTTGCTTTCCTACTATATACCAAACACTTATTATAACTGAACAAGTAATAGGTTTATTCCATGCTGAAAAGAGAAGAAAAGAGACACAACGTTTTGGCTGCGGAGACTTCTTCTTCTTCACACAAGCGAGTCACACACCAATCTCTTTTCTTCTCTTTTCAGCATGGAATAAACCTTTAGTTGATCCTTCGCAGCCTACGCCTGCTACTTAAACTACTTATTATAATTGTGCAATTCTGTTGTCTCTTATTGTGTGCTTTTTTCTTACTGTTTTTCTGTCTCTTACTTGCTATATAAAATAAATTTTATTACTATTATATACAGTCGTCCATCATTATTACTGTCCTATTAACATACATGAAGACAGACAAACAATCTAGACTAGAAAGTGTTCTCTTTCTTCTTTTTTTCAGCATGGAATAAACCTATTACTTGATCCTTTGCAGCCTATGCATGCTGACGCAGCTACCCACCTGAACTACTACAATCTAGACTAGTGTCTTCTGCACAGGAAGCTGTCCTGTAGAATCTAGAGTTTAGGCACAGAGGGTAAAACTCAGCACAAGCACTCACCTTCCCACAATTAATTTCACTGTGTTGGTGCACACTCCGTTCAGCACTAGAGCCAGGGTCACAGCTATAGAGGAAGGAAAAGAGGAACAGCTGCAGTTACCTCCAACATCACACAAGATCAATGCTGCTTGAGTTTGTCAGACCTGGTAGCTGAGCCAGCTACCAGCTCCGCTCTGATTCCAAATGAGCAGGTCTTACCAAGCTCATAAACTTCACAGGGCAGAGATCAACCTGCAGGAATTATATCTGTACTCTCAAGAGGCAGTGCAGCCAGTGGCAAAGTATTAATGGCAAATAGGCTTAGGTCAAATCTCATTTCAGTACTCTTGTAGACTCAATGCATAGTGCTGAATCAGAAAAAGCTACTGACGACGCATCATCTTAACACGGCATACAATCTATTTACACTTTCTCGACCTATCGTCAGGTACCATGGGGTGACCCTGGAGTTTATCCCCCAACTCCTTCACCTCTGGAAGCACAGATTCAGATTTCCAGAGACTCACACAGACATTGGTTCTGGGGTTCAGTGGTCACATCACCATGCTTCGGCAGTAAAACAAACTTCTGAATTGTGACTGATTCGCTATGGCAGGGCTTACCTCATGCACACAAGGCATTGTTTTTTAATAATTGCAACCCTTGGGAGTCTCTTCTCACGTACAGCTGTAATGTAGAAGTACACTAAGTGTGAGACGTAGAAGAACCGATACCTAAAGACGCTTCCCTGATGTCTCCCTTTTCGGTCTTCTTAGAACAGCTGAATAATAATATGACTATCAGTGGGGTGATACAGGCAATGGTCTGCAAGACAGAAGAAGGTATAAAAAGGGAAACTTGCATTAACACAAGGGCACAACCACTGAAAGGTAATCACACCCATAGGGTTTCGAATGCGCTACTTACAAACATGAGAAAGGTGGGAACATGGTCCATCTCCACATGATGGTACTTATACAGCCAGAGCTCTTCAGGCTGAATTTCCCTATTGAATGGAGGTAGTTGCTCTGTAATGCTGAAGACAAACAATGCAGACAGCAAGGCAATCAATGACTCGTGTAACTGAGGACACACTGTGAACTTCAGCTTGAGAATGTAAACCATAAATGAACTGTGGCCTTCAGTAATGCTATTTGCATAACCAAAGGCCAAAGTTCATTTCTGGTTTACAATTACATGCCTCTACAATCCAAATTTACATAACCCGTTCACTCCTAAACTATCAGAATCAAATCTTCTTGCTGTACCTGTGCACCAATTTGACTGTTGTGTATTTCCAACCCATTTTTTCTAATTAGTCTTAACAAACAAGCTCTCCTTGGCACACTATTCTTTCAGTTTCAACAAGCAGTATTTTTGATTGAACAGGCTATGTATAATCACTATGGCAGGTAATCAATTGCCAACCAACATTCATGTAAGAATATTAGCTAAATTAACAAGAGAATTAAGAGGCCTCTATAGACATTGGCCAGTAACCTCTCTGGATTATTATTACTATTTGCAGTGGCTGATGCTTTATCCAATGTGCACCCATTTGCATACATTACAGACACTGCACCAAATTTGCATACAGCCGGTCCATTTAATGTAGCAATTTGGTGAAAATAACCCCCCCAGGAACTGAACACACAACCTTCCTGATACAAGTCCAGAACCTTTACCACTTCTCCACACTGCTGCCCACGGCCAGCCCATTAAAAGAAAGAGATCATTCAAAAGACAGGGCTTTATAATCTCAGTTAGTTGCTTTCAACACATGCACACAGAGATACACACCTTCCCCCTCCTAGACACTGTTCTAAATCCGCATAGGCATTGCGTTAGATATTTCTAACCCTACTCCCTCACATTTAAGACGCACGCATTAGGTTTGAACATGCAATATAAGATCAGTACTTACAGAAAAACTATAAGGAGAAGCAGTCGAATGGCAGCTTCAGAGATGAAGCCATGTGCAAATTGTTTCCTCATCTTTTAAGTGGGTTTTTGGGTCATCCAGAAAATCTATTTAAGCAAATCCATTTGTATCCTGTATACAGAGACAAAGACAAAATAACTACACTAAGTGTAACTAAATGCTCTCACAACCCATAAAATGTGTTAAAAAAAGCATACCCTAATACTAAGGTTTTAAAGACATCCGTGCACATTTTCACAATTCCAAAATCTACACAAAAGACATTGTGAAACACAAGCAGAATCTTTCCCCAGCCCACTTTCACCAAGTCATACATTTGTTCTGTTTCAGTCTTTGAACTAGGTGTCTGCCTAGGATGAGTGTAAATCATTGTAAGTTTAGTGTCACTGCCAGCACTGATCACCAACAGCCTTCAGTATGGTCTTCAGCCGATTGTAGACCACTACAATAGCACATGCAGAAAGCAAGTCATTGAACTTCATTGAATACAGGCAAGGATACAGATTCAGAGTTTTTCCAGAGTCACACACACAATTCCAACTACGCTTGCCCTTATGGTGAGAATAAAGTGGATGCGTCCAACTCTAATAAAAGCACACACCATGTCGCAAATTGTCAGCCACCAACAAAATCTCTTCTTCCCTTACACGGAAGTGCACCTAACATACTGTAACTATCACGTAGTTGACCAAGAACTAGTTACTACAGGGTGTACAGTAGTACTGTATACAACATGCATTTGGATACAAAAATAGACCATTTTAAACAAACGTTTTAGGATAGAGCATTTAACATTCTGGCGAAGAAAAATAATGTAACAACTACACAGATATCTCTAATGCGGAGTTTGTTAATGTTCATCCACTGGGGCCTGTCGATTCAGTTTCATCAAAATAATCTAAACACCTAATTGAGAAAGCCGAAGCGCACAGCACACCTGTGGTTTGGAAAGCAGGATGGACACAGTGCGCCCTATTTTAGCTTGCCATCCCTACAGTACTTCGCCTTCAGCGGCCGGGAGGGACATCTGCAATAACTGAGTTGTTGTTTCACGATTTCAACTACATGACGACTGCAGCGTTTCACTGCTAGATGTTATCAGTTAATCTTTTAAAACACGGCACGACTGCTACACCCTAGCACGATGTGGACAGACCGATAGAAGACCGTTTGTTACTCAGAACCAACACAAGACGAGAAGCATCCCTTTCTGTCTTGTCCTGGAGCAGCAGACATAATGCACCAACATTTCTCAAATAACGTAATTTCCGGGCTCCCGACCACAACCTCCTTGTCCTTAGCTTTGTACAAGTCGACTCTGATTAAACAGCGTTTTTATTAAAATTGTGCACATACCTTCCGTTTTGTTTTCGCCTCTATGATCGTTTCGGTCGGCCGTCGGAAGAAGCGCTGACCTATGACTCGCGCAAGACGTGGCATCTGCTCAGCGGCAAAGCTCTGAATGGGAAACGTCTGTCCGCAGTTCAACAAAACCCGAGGTATTCGGAATAGATCTTACAGGAAGACAAAAAAGTGCATCATTTTGCACGGCGACATCTATAGGACACTGAAGAGATAACATTATCACTGTGTGATATTCATTCGGGTATATTAATTAAGCCAAGCAGTAAAAAAGACATTTATTAAAATTGTTTGCTACATGTTTTTTTTTTGCACAGGTCATATCTTTTATCACTTAACATGCTCCTCCTTACCAATGAGGTAATATTTCTTCTCATTTCCAGTTTCCAGCATTTCAAAGTTCTAAAAAGAATTTTCTTTACATATTTTACAGAATTTTGTGGAGAAATCCTGGCATTATCCAGAATTTATAACAGGCGCGATTCTCACACTTTCTTAGCCCACGTCTACCTAACTTACAAGATTTAAAATTTTAATATTCATAAGTTTTCTACCAAATTCTTCTTCCAATTCATGGTCACGGAGGAGCTGGAGCCTATCCCAACAAACGACAGGCGCAAGGCAGGGTACATCCTGTCCGTCCGTCACAGGGCAGACGGACATTAAGCCAACACGTACTGTACTGTACGTCTGTGAACTTCTCAGCCTTCTGGCTAAGATCAAGAGTAGTAAGTCTTTGAACTGGGGGAGATAACACACACCAACACAGAGAGAACATACTCCACGCAGAAAGCATCAGGTCTTTGAAGCAGCAATGCTAATCATTATTCCAACCATAACTTACTATGTTATTTTTAAAAAATCTATTAGTATAGTAAAGCTTCTTAGCATTGACCTGGTTACTTCAATCTGAAATACCAAGTTCTCCAGGCTACAGAGGTAGAATTTAGCATGCAAAACTGACAAGAGTTCTGCATTCTTTTGTTAAGTGAACTATAATATGTATAGTTTCTGTCACACAAAATACAAAAGGACTGTTCATATCAGTTTGTAAGGCCATCGCTTATGTACTTTACAATGTATATGTGACAGCTCTTTTTAATTGTCTGAGCATTGTGCTTTCTCCATAAAATCAGTGAATCAGACAAGGTGCTTTTTCACAGTGCAAGTAATGAAAAAAATACTGTACATAAGAGCAGTGGACCTACTAGAGATCCCTGCTCCACTAATTACATCACCCCAGTTTCAGGATTCACCCCTTATTTGTACACATTGCCTTCTATAACAACCAGTTCTTAGCACACACTCAAATTTTCCTGAATGCCTACTGCCTGCAATTTGAGAATTTTTATTTCTGAAAATTTGAGAACTTTATCAAAACCCTTCTAAAAATCATAATATACTGCGCCATATCATATACCCATTCTGTATACGATCCCAGTGCTATGTGTTTGAAAACCTCTTAACAAATTGGTTAGGCAAGACCTACCTTTTCTAAATCCATGCCGACTCACTAGGGTATGATGTCCCTCTAGTTAGGTGATCCCCTAGTTTAGACCTTATAATAGTTTCCATTACCTTATATGTAGTAGACTTATTGGTCTATACTTTTCAAAACCTTTTTATGGACACTACATTAGTAATTCTTCAGTCCTGTTGAAAGAGTTGTGTAAACGACTTCTGCTCTACATCTCTTATTTTCTTGAGTACAATCGGTAAGATATTATTATCCCCAGGTAGTCATCCGTCTCAGTACTAATCAGTCTTAAGCCTATTTTAACTTCCAGGACTAGATGATATTGGGCACATTCAAGATAGTACGGCCAGAGAGCACTCAGTTACGTTTTTATAAATCATCTCATGCAAGCTAAATTTCTTTACATCTCAAGGAATGGAATGCATTGGAAATGGTTTGCCATATACCCTGTATTCAGGTATACCATACAATATCTAATATACAAGTCTATACAAATAACTTATTACAGTATATTCAAAATAATACTAAATCATTCTTTATGATTTTGCAGAAAACAAGACTTACCTGCAAAAAAACTGCAATACATCTAATTATAATACTGATCTGAAAAACAAATTCATTAAGCATTTCTGCTAGAGTAGAATGTAAGGTTATAGAATACAAAAAATAAAGTATGGACACTCAAAAGATTTATGCAACATTTCACAACTTTTAATGTGTCATTTTCTTCTTTGGAATAAACTAAGTGGTGAGAATGAATAAACTACATATTAGATTACATATTATATAAGATAGGGATCCCACAAAGGCACTGGAACTGAAAGACAAGACTCATGCCTCAGACTGTAACATTCAGAACAGTTTTATTGAAGTCAAACCTCAAGCAAAGTCTGAAACTGATAAATCTGTGGAATGTCATTAAAAACCTTTCAGAATGAATTCTGGCAGAAGCAAAACACATCTGAATTCCAAAATATTCCAAATAAAAAAAGGACATCTCAGTCAATATAATGTACAAAAAATTATACGTTCCTACAGTCACACACATTCAGAAGCTAAATATTACAGGCAGTCTAAATACACTACAACTAATGACAATTGTTTTTGCTAACTATATACAGGATTAGACAAGCATCATTCTTTTACACTATGCAATAACATAGGCTGAACAACAAAATGAAAATAATTGGTGTTTTAATTCTAAACAGCAACATCAATTAATACAATTACAAACCCCCCAGCTGAAATCTTAGGGAGGTATCACTACTGTAGTGTTTTGAAGATGAATTATCATTCTAGCCAAGCCGTAACAGTTTTTCAAATATTCAGAGTGTATACTTCATTTTATGTCATGATGGATAGTCAACAATTACAATCAACATTTCACAAAACCAACAAATTTAAAAGTAAAGTTCACGTGGAAATGAGTCTATTTGCAAGATTGAGAACAGGATCCCTTTAAAATTACATGTTTTTCTTTTTCTAAAAAAATTGTTTATGTTGTTGTACATCTCAAATTATACAGGAGTTACACTCATCTTAAGACTTTCTTTAAAAATAAGCAACAGACAGTCCATAATACACTCTCTGAAGCATAAGCAGTACATGATATGTATATAAATATGTTAATTTCTTCCTTTTTCAAGAATATACATCTGTGGTTTATGGAATACTGACTGGCCATGACAGAATTCAAACATAAAAATTAGAATGCACCATTTTATACAATGAGACCCTCTCTACCCTTTGTGTGCGTGTGTGTGGGGGGTAAGCACATATTAAGCATTATCAGTATAGTAATACTTCTGGCTTCAAACTTAATCTGAAATAAGAACAATGTGTTAGTCCTGAGGTGTAAACCAAGTCTAATTTAGGCTAGGTTGACTATGTGCAATCTCATTGCCAGCAAGAGTCTGAAAAATAAAGCAGTAGAATAGTGAATAATTGTTAAGAAGTCACAGTAAAGCAGTTTTTAAGATAAACAAAATCCTGATATGCACCCTAAAAGAGGCATGCATGTAGCTATACGTATGCAGCCCTTTGGTGACAATGCCTCAAGCAGCTATATGAGATAGAACTTCTATAAAGAAAAATATTTTTAAAAATGTTTGTCTTAGCCCCATGAGTAAGAGTAAACACTATCAAAAGAGGCACCAGTCCAGCAGATTTAGGGGGGATAGCATCACATAGACTGCACACCGTTTGCTTCTAAATGAATTACAGGACCCCCTTTCAATGAAGTTCTGCCACATGGCTCTCCAGTGAGGGCTCTAGTCTTGCTTCAGGAAAACATAAAAGAGCTGTGAAGAACTGATTTAGTGACAAAGCAAGACTGAGGCTAACACACTTTAAGGAAAAAAAAGGATGATTCGCCATTTAAACACAAAAAATGTAGAAGAGTGTTGAGCAGGTATTTGGAGATAAACAAAGGTTGGTTAGTAGCAAAGCTTAAAAAATATTCGTGAGTGTAAACACCTGCAGTCATGACTTTACTCATGCCTTTATTACATTTAACGTGATTTACAACTATCTACCTGTGAGAGCTCTAGAAGTGGCAAAGGTGTGGGGTAAACACTATTGTTACTCGTCATAGAAAACCGTGGCTTGGAAATGAAGTCTTCTCAAATTCTGCTTCTTTTGCCCTCATTTACAATCGCCCCCCCCCCAATATAAAATCATTAAAACTGCATCTAATCTACTTACTATTACATTTAAGTATAAAACAATTATAAATAAAATGGAAGCAACATAAAAAACATTCAAGTAAACTCTGTGGAACGTTAGGAAAAAAAAGGCAGATTTATATATAAATAAAGTGACTCTTCATGTGCCAGTGGTGCAGCTATTTCATTATTTGGTGGCTAATTTGTGTTAAAGTTCTAACAGAGCTGAGAGGCTTTCACTGAAGGGAAAGTTACCATTGTGGGTAATTAATTTCTTTGTTTTCCCTCACAACCCGCAGAGACCCAACTTGTGTGAAACATTAAACCAGTAATGAGTTACTGAGGAGATAAATTACATAAACTACAGGAGCTTTCTAAAGTTCATATTAAGATGATGGTATACACTAATCAAGACTTTCATTTTCATTGCATGACTCCAGAAAAAAGAATTTCAGGCATCATTGGCCCATTCTTTTCATTTCCAATTCTATTCTGATCTTCATTATGAAGTTTGAAGTGAGTGAAATTAGACAAAAATGTATTTGTACAGTTCCTCTTTCAAAAACAAAATGAAATGTATTTTTTAAATGTTTTGGAAGGTTTTGCTCAGTTTTATGTACATACACAGGTAAAAAAAGGGTGCCAATAGTGTTACTATAATTATGCATGTAATTACATTTGTAATATTTTGTGTTTTTGTTGTCAGTGATGTTTCAAAGTACCTATAATAAAAACTGCTAATTGCTTGCAGTTAAACTAAGGAATGAATGATGTCATTAGAAATAACAGGAAGGATCTGGGAAGAGTTCAGAAAGACATCAGAAATACCATTAAAAAAAAAACAATAAATAAAAACAAAAGACAAGATACAGTTACAATTATATGGCCAATACTGAATGTATCTGACACCTTTTACAGAGGCAATGTCTACATGTAAACTCCTCAAATTCTGATTAATACGAATAAAAACAGACATCACAAAAGATCAGCATTTCATATTTTAGAACAATTTCTACTCTGGTTTTGAAGGTTGACAGCATCACAAAATGCAAAAAACCCTAAAGTGTAGTAAGACTGCAATTAATTCCAAGCATTTATCTGATGGTAGTGATGTGAGTTGGTAGGCAGTGCTCTAGCTAGTATGAAGGACAGAATTATTCCAACATAATGGACAGTACAGTGCTTAAGGTAGTTAGGCTCTCAAAAAGGTTTTTGGATTAACTCAGTTGAGAGATACAGTACGCTCGTTCCTGGTAACCACACATTTTCAAAGTGTATAAAGAAAAATGCCCTTTCTTCAAAGATTAACAATATTAAAACACTTTATGACTTAATTTTAAAATAACACATGGTAAAACAATCCTGGTAAAAGCACATTTCCACCACACATATGTTCAAGAATGGTCTATGCATGTTACCAGACTTTCTGTTATTTCTGTTATTTAAAGACATCTACTCTCAAAGCACCCTTTGAAGAAAAAATAAAGCAATATGCCTTTAAGTCTTAAAATTCTCAATATGGATTTTTAAAGTTATTTTTTACTAATACTTTAAATAAAGGAATACATTCTTTGAATATTTACAGATATAATCTCTTCAAAACATTGTTATTCTATGAAAATAGAGACCATTAAAAAAACAAGTCATTCACAATGTAGGTGATATAATGATTAGTGCTTTAGAGAAAAAAAAACCCAACAACAAACAAAACCAAAAAAGCACTTACATGCACCATTTCAAATTGATACACATTATTATTTACCACTGAAGTGAAAATAAGATAATTTAGATCAAGCATTACGTTTTTTTTTTTAATTACCTGCTGGGCTTCCTGCAAACTGTTAATGCCATAACTTCAAACTTTCACTACAAAATTCAAGCTGTGCAACACTATTAGGATATTAACGTAATTGTCTGTATGCATGAGAAGTTGGCTTTTCCCAAACCAACTCTTTGAACGTGCAGTATTCATGACCGCGAGTTGAATGTGATGACACATACTAACATGGAGCTACGTGCAAATTTCAGACACGCAACGCCCAGTCACAATAACTGTGCACTCAGTGTGGATGCAATGGCTTTAAGTTCCTTAAAAATGGGAAAAAAACACCTCAATAGATGGGAGTCTCTAAAAACATAACGAAAAGGCATTCCTAATTTCCATTTTTGACACTTGTGAAATGTGAAATTTTGCCTAGTTCATCAAAATAGGGAAAAGAATCTGTGAACTTCACTGTACAGAAACATGTTTTCTTTGTGCCCCAAAGTAAAAAGTCAGGGGAGTTTTAAAAGACAAAAGAGTTAAATGTTTTAAATCCCACTTCCAACCTTGGTCAATACACAGCTTTATTACTCCCTCACTGCCCCCTCTTGAGTTAAAACAAGTTTTTCTTAACTTTGAAATCTTCTACATCACTTGAAGTACCTGTATAAGAACACGTTGGGATGAGGAGATGACAAGTTTGAAGTACACTACACCACATACTATGACAAAGGTTTTTCAGAAATCTCAAATAAGCACTCGGACATATGCAGGATATTAAAAGAGAAAATGGTGAACTAAAAATTCCTTTCCTGCTCTCCTGAATTTTGCCTGTTTGCAATGTCATTAACAAAACATGATCACAGTGGATTTTACTAACAATGCTAAATACACGATTAAGAAAATGTATTAAGATCATTAGATTTCATGAGAGAAGGTGAACAGAAAAGTGACTAAAGAGTTAAATAATTTTAACATCTCTTAGTCTGAAACTGAAATTTAGTTAATTGATTGCATGTACAGAAATGGCAGTTTCAAGACACCGATCAGTGCAGAAGCATTCATTCACAGATTGCCTTCAGCTCCTTTTCGTTGCCCAATTCTGACATTCACATTACCCATCAATGATGAAAAGGGTGGAAAGGTTACATGAACTAGCAGCTTCTTTAACATTAAACACATTAACAGTTTCATAAGCAGCAAAAAATAGATTAAAATCACTTTGACATAAGTCACACCAATAACCTTAAAGAATTCCTTTGAGAACCTGACAGAATGACATCCAAACACTTACTGAACTATTTCAAAGTCAAGAATGTAAATTTTGAGGAAGAAGTACAAAAATACTACACAAGGTGAAGGAAGGGTTTAAAACCTTAATCACTGTCTTTAAAAGAAGGATTTAAAATGAAGTTCCCTAGTAAAAGACATACATAATTAGTAAATGTCCAGAAAAGTAGTGTGTTCCTGTTAAAATTGCACAAAAAAGAGGTTTTACAAGAGGTACATAAAAACAATATTCATATTTTTGGAGTGACCTACGAGCTGGCAGAATGTGGTTTTGCTGTTTTATGTCCCTGTACAGACAGCAAGACGTGTTATAAATGGTGCAAAACTGGAAAAACAAAAGGCCTCCAGGCAACCACATCTCACAGGAGTTTCAAAGACAAACAAAGACACAGCAGGGCAGAGAACCATTGGACCTCCACCAGTGATAAGATTATGTCATTTAAAAAGTGCCAATTATTCAATACTGTCATATTTGGTTCACCTCTGGAAAAAAGTTCAGTTCATCAATCTCTCTGAAAAGTCAGCCTCATCTGGACTACTTCTCAATACCTGCTGCTCCTACCTGCTGTAAACTGGAATGGACTGTAATGAGAACAACACTTTCAGTCTTTAAATGTGTGCATGATATATAAGAGTATCAACTACGGTTGCCTGAAAAGCAACAAGCCCACTTCCTCTACTTACGCTATGAACTCGAGTCTTTTACCATTTCATTGGACACCCCCTTTAAAACTGCACTCAGGGTGCCTCATTCTCCCATTGCATCAGGAGGGTCCAGGGGCTCCAGTTTGACTTTAACCTTGTTGAGAGACTCGGGTGTCAGTGGGTTTTTAGGGTTGTGGCTGGAACAGCAGAGGCGGCCCTCGAGGGCAGAGGGCACCAGAGCCCCCTTCTCGTGGTCTTTGCAGAAGGAGCTGGGGCAGAACTCGCAGAAGGATATGGAGGAGCGCCCACACACACTGCATTGATGCCAGGGGCATTCCCACCTCCCTGCACACAGAACACAGGACAGTAGGGCAGTCAGAAAACACCTCTTCCGTTTTCTAAACCTGTCCAGAACACAGCTGAGGTTTCGTCTTGTGTGCATGTGTTTGTCGGTTAGTCCATTTAAGTATAAAAGCCACATAAGTATTTTGTTTTTAGAAATCAAACTTTTAAAAATTGAACACTCTACAGTAATAAGTCCAGTAAAAGAAACAGTAACAGGGAAATAGCAATAGTAGAATGAACCACTGATATAATCATATAATCATATCTCCAGATCAAATTCAACCAGTAGTTTTTCAGGGAAACTCAACTACTTTTATGAACTGCAGAACTTTGAATTATCAAAAGATTCACTACTTTAAAACATATTATCACATTATGAAAGACATACACTTTCTGTGATGTCAAAAGAAGTCAAATGTGTCCTCCAGACAGCCTAGTGCAAAAAGGGTCAGTCTTTGCATTCAACGAGTGGGGAGACGTACCATACGGTGGCTTCGTCAAGTTAAGGCATAAGAGGTGGTATGCTTTTGGGCAGTCTTTCTTGTCACACATCACCAGCTCCCCCCCTTCACCGCAGCAGAAGCAGAAATACTCGTGGTTCTGCTTCGCCTCGGGCTTGATCTTGCGCTTCTTTGCTTTGAGTTTGGCATTCTTCGCCTTCTCCTCTTTTTCTATAACAACTGCACTCTGCGCAAGGAAAAACGGATGTAAACAAAACAAAAAGTACGGTTCATGCAATCCATTGAGTCCAAGGACATTCAAAATTCAAATTAAACGAAAAAACTGGTTAAAGGCAGTAGTTTTGAAATAAAGTGCCACAGTAACACCTTAATATGAATGCATTTCAGAGTGGCTTGTAGACTAAACAGTTTTCTCACTGGGAAAATAAAATAGGGTTTCTCTTACCTTCGGTCGCACGCCCAGAAACCCACTGCAGTTTTCAGCTCCACAGTGACAAGTTGTCCTTCCATTTCCCAGACAGTCCAGGTTATAATTGAACGTCAGCTCAGTTTCTACAACAAAACACCAGGGGGAAATATTGATCGATTATACTTCCAACATATTTTCCTCCAGAGACAAGATAGAGAACTACTGAATTGACACAGAATCATTATTTTGACTTCTGCAATACTGATTTCAAGATTAATTCTCTACGTTTTAGGTTCAAGCACACTTGATATTGTTAACACACTGACTAAATTAGACTACCAATTTATCCAGAAATAATAATCTTTAGTTTATATAGCATCTTTAAAGGTGGCTTCTCAAAGCGCTTTACAGGACGAAGACAATAATAAAAAATACACTATCTAGATATATATAATAGATATGCACAATGAGAGGAGACAGTAAATGGGGTACTGAATACAGTAAGAGCAGTGTGGTAAATAATAGAACCAGTTAAGTAAAGGCCCTTCTAAAGAAGGTTTTGAGAATAGATTTGAAGGGGTTTAGGGAAGGTGACTTTCTGATATCCCTAGGGACAGAGTTCCAGAGTTCTGGGGGCATAACAGGAGAAGGCCCTGTCACCCACAGAGTGTAAGTTTGGGGGACAGATAGGAGGCCAGAATTAGAAGAGCAGAAGTTGAGAGGTGGGGAGTGGGACTATAGTAGTTCAGACAGGTACTGAGGTGCCAAGCCATGCAGAGCCTTGTAGTTTGTTGTAGCCATGTAGTTCTTTATGCATTTATGTAGTATTTTCCATCCCAAAGGATTCCAAAGTGCTGTATACAAATGGAGAGTGACCAAATCATTCATCACAAGTAATAGGAGTGCAGCTTTTACTATGCACCACAAAAGAGTATTTCAGGCTCTTCAAAAAATACTTCACTGAATAATTTAAAGCGGAGCCTTCGAGGAGGCCAGATTGTTTAAACCCAGACTGGAATTTATTAACAACACTGGCATTAACACCTCAATGCTTCTCAAAGCTGCCATGGGATCATTAACCATCAAGTGGTCAAGACCACGGTTTAACATTTCATACAAGACACTTCGTATGACACAGTGCCATGGTCACCGAACACTACACTGGGGCATCGGTTTCTGGTAATTCTGGTCCACCAACACCACTTGCAGAAGCAGCTTTCCTTGGAGGGTCCCATCCCACTGCTGACCAGATATTTGAAGCCATTCAGGTTTTTCTAGCTGCAGGCTCTTGCATACAGCTAGATCACCAGGCGCTGGATTGTCTGTGACCATATTTTGATTTAAATCACACAAACACTGGAGAAGTGAAAACATTTTTTTTATAAAGTAAAAACAGCACCTCTTTAATTACTGTGCAAGAACTTTCCGTTAGTAAATCTTGATCAAACTGGTGCACTAATGGAATATTGTAAATTTCCCTGTTTTCTTTATAAATCTTATTAATTGTAAAGTAAACCTATGTCCTCAAACATTATGACATATATTACAGTCAATACAAGGGGGCTACAAATGCTGTTTATGTGACCTAAAATCATTGAGAAAGGTAACCTCTATCTCACCAGTCTCGATGTCGCAGAGAGCAAACAGGCCCACTCGGACATCCCCATTCACCGTCCACTTCTGGGTCTCACAGTTCGGGCTGCAGCTGTGGTTCATGAACCGGGAGTAGTTTCCTTTCGGCCCAGCATCAATGACCCGATCCTGCAAAAGAAAAACTTTGACTTCCATTTGAAGAATTTACAGGTATGTTATTATTCAAGAAAATATCTGAATAGTGAACATAATCATTTTTTTATTAAAAAAAACTCAACCTCTGCTCTGCACTCAAGCCAACATCAAACAAGATGGTTTGTCTTTATTAGTACCGTTTTAACAGGTCTCTGAATTTTCTCTTGCTAAGCCAGAAATCTGTTAAGTCCTGGCCCTAAAGAACTGTTTTATTCTCACTGTGATGTTAATTAACTGAATCAATTGCAATGGCTTTGGCAGTTCAGATACCTGCGTTTTCTGTCACTGTCATCGTCAAACATCATAGTACAAAGACTAAGACTTCTAAAGGACAGGTTCTAAGGACCACGGCTCTGAGCTGTCAGGACTAACTTTGTGTTTCAATTGACAGACCAAAAATGAAAGGGCAGCATACATGAAAAAGGTCTCTGATCTGATGAAAAATGAGAAAAGAAGAGCCATACCTTAGTGAGAGTCAGCATGTAGAAGTTGGTAACATGGTTCTCGTGAGCATGTTTGATGCGTTGCCTGCATTCTTCTGAGTCAATCAGCTCTCCAACATACTCAGTCACAAACTCCCCCTGTGGGGTTAAAGCAATCGCGCACCTCAAACAAGGTAAACCTCCCCTGTCAAGACCTAACAGAACACTATACAAATAGGTACCTCCAGTGCAACAGCTAAGGCAACAGAACTAAGCTTATAACACAAGGATACACCTGTATCAGAGCACTGTGCTTACCTTTTTCAGGCTCTTCTTTGTTTTGAGACCCCAGCCACGGCCCTCTGTTTTGATGACCTCTGTCTCAGGGTAGAGGCGTTTGGTGAAGCACTGGTTTTGGCAGTTTTCCCCAGCCGGGCACACCTGAGGGTGGCACTCGTACTGCAGCATCCTGTTCAGGCACTCCGAGTCCAGGCTGCAGGGGTTCTCATCGGTGGGCTTGCAGTTACAGCGAGGGATCTCAGACAGGTCCGCCACATGGATCTGGACTTTCCCAACTGGCTTGTTGGACTGGGGACAAAAACACACACACAGGTGTTATGCTGGTACTATAAGAGGAGCATTCACACCTACGCAAAGAAAAGAATGATTCCTCAAGTTCCTGTTCTGTCTGAATCTGTCTGAACACCCTTGGCCTCTCCCAACTCAGAAATCAGGGGAGAAGTGTGATCTTAATAATACCTTCTTCTCCCTGCTTCCTCCCAAAGCTGTAGCTACATACAGTATATGTAATTTACAGTGAGCTGTACTGTACAACGAATAGTTAGACTTTCAGGCTGAAAATGCAGGATGGTGATGAGAACACACAAAAAGTGTCTTCTGCAGGAGCCTTACTCTTCATTATTCATGTGCTTCAACCACTTAAACACAGAGGCCCAGTGTGACTAACGATTAAAAAAACAAAAACTGTTGTATTTCCCTAATCATGAGTTTGAACATTCATGTTAGTGATTGGCTAATAGACTGGGATTGGGATTGTGTCGTAGGCTTGTACAGTTATTAATTTTGCATTACCCTTCGTATTGAAACGTTCACGTGCTGGGGTGAAATTGTACTAATTGCACTGCCACTTATCTGCTCTTATTGTTTAATCTTATTGTAAATGTTATCTATTGACTTTGAATAACTTTTCATGCACACTCCTTTGCGAAGGATGCTTTCCTTGCAGGTGCTATTTAACATACAGTCTGACTGACTGATGCTTTCACATTCTGCTTCTAGAGCACACTTGCCTTGATAAATTTGTATGGGGGTGGTTTCCGTGAGCTGCGCTCCTGCTCCAATGCCTCCTTGCTCTCTCTTTGTGCCTTTAGCTCCTGGAACCTCTTAGCAGCCTCTTCAAGTGCTGGGAACAGAGGAAATCATCATTCACAATCACTTGACCTATTGTCAATCTGTCTCTTGAAATACATGCAGAATACAGTGTCCAGTGCTTTGTGTAGTTTGTAAGTATGCAGTTTTTCTATCATTCTAGAGACCTCATGGAGACCATTAGAATCCTTGTTGCTATGGAATATTTACCTTAGCCTTGAACGAGAGGCTGAGTGAGGCCTAATCTTTATAAATACACTGTTTCCACAAATTTAACCATGACCAGCTCCTTTTGTACAGTTCTTCTGAAATGCTGTTGCTTTGAACCACTAAAGAATGAAAGTGTGCATTAAATTTCCTCAGACAACAAATGTATCATAAATGAACTAAGCCTGTAAAAAATCTTAATTTACATAGCATTCTCAGTCACAATGAGGAAGGATAGGTATGGCACAGAGATGTTCACTGTCAGAAGCAGATGATTCAGTTTAATCAAGTTATTAAAGCAACACAACTTCTGCCTTACCTTTTTTAAAGGTCTTGTTTATTCCAATTTGGCCATCAGCAAAGTTCTTGTCACCTTCAACATAGGGGAAGACTCTACCTTGATTGATCCAGTAGTAATCATGAGACCCAAAGAAGAACACGGGGAAGTCTCCAATATCATGCTTCAGAGTCTGTATGTTGAAAGGAACAAGTCTAGGGTTGCAGATCTCTGCAGGCCACCACCTGTACAGAAAAGAAATGCAGCAATTTATAAACCCCCCAAAACAGATTTCACATTCTGGATAGGGTAAAGTCACGTTATTAGGCTACGTTATTGTTAGGTTAGGTTATTATTAGGTTAAATTATTTGCCAAAATGTGAAACGTCTAATACCAAAATACTTCTGATATATAAGTTAAAACTTGTATTCAAGATAAAATACCAAAGCACACCTCTTTCTAATAACCCAGGAAATAATAGTTCGAGTCGATGAAAGAAAAATGGTGAAGAAAAAAAATGTAAAGGGATAAATTGTGAGGCTTTGTAGTTAACATGCTCTGCATTTATAAAGTCAATGTTTTGTGTGTCCATCAAATGATCTGCTAAAACATAAATTACAGAAGACCACACTGCCTCACAATAATTGACACCCTGTCATTTGGAAGTCCTCTTCTTAATTGTACATACTGTATGCCATTTGCCTGGGTTCAGTCAGAAGGAAAAGATTGATAGAACAATCACTTGTATCTGATCCTGTATCTCACCTGTAGTTTCCCAGCTTGACCCAGACTATCTGCTTGTAATGAGGCTTCTTCCCTATTCGGCACTCATTACAGAACCAGATCCCATCCGGCATCTCAATGTTCAAGCATTCAGGATGGAAAGAGGCAGGGCAGGATTCACAGCACAACAATCTTCCACCTTCACACAGAGAAATGGTGCGGTTTAAGGCTTGCATTCATTAAAGCAAACAAGGGGCCCCTTCCTCAAAGCTTTTTGCAAAAGCATTTAATTTACCCCTGGTTTAAAGTATGTCACAAAGAGCTATAGGATTGTACTCAGATTATTTTAAGGTACTGTACATCTGAATATTACAATAAATGATCTCAAGAAAGACTTGAAAATAATATTAGTAACTGGGTGTAAATTAAAGACTTGAGGAAAAACTTTGAAAACAAAGCAATACACAGGAATGCTTGCATGCATCAAAGTTTTACTTTGATTTGGAGCATGACAGTTGTTTTGTATAATTCTCGAACACTACATTTCAAAAACAGGCACATGGAAAAAAAGCAACAAAGTGACATGCATGCATGATATCCCATTACATTCTTGTCTGTGAACGTGACAAGTTGTGCATTTGGTAGGTTGCGCCTCTTCCTTTTTACCAGTGAAAGGTTGTGTCCATTTTAGTATCAAAAGTACAGTTGTTTCAACATCAGAAAAAATTCACACTTTTTTCTCCTAAACGATCACAAAAACCTTTATGGTGCTATTTTTGAAGGAAATGTCTTACTTTTGAACTTCAAGATGTGCAGAAATGTTCTCATCTTTAAATGCAATCTGGCTAGCTTAACTTTAAAGATAACGTTTTGAGAAGATTAGGCAATAAATAACTCTTTTTGGGCTGTGTTTGCAAAAGCATGCTTCTTAGATCATGAAACATACTTGGATCATATATTTAGACAGAACTGGTCAATCAAATCAAATGTCAGCAGACGGAATGGACATTTTAATCAAGTTTCCATATTTCCTTTTAAAAAAATATCATAGAACTTTGATTCACAACACTATAAGACACTTTAGCAACAGAATACAAAACATACATAAACAATTAGCTCATTTTGCAGTCGTGCAATGATTTAAAAACGTACCAAACATGCCAACAAATGCTTCGTGTGACATTAATCAGAGGAATAAAAACCCCATTCTATTGATCAGCGTAAAAACAAATATAAGCAGGAAGCAAAAAACCATCTTAAATCAAAAATGAGCTGGAAAGCTAAGCAGAAAAGGTCCTTTGCAGCAGCACACTTTGCTTAAAGCCAAGCACCTTCAGGGCTCAAAATAACCAAGTACATAATCCCGATACCTGTTCCATAGGTCTGTTGCTTTTGTGAATTTATAAATTGTCAAGAACTACAAAATGGCCAAATAATAGCAAACTAGCAAAAATAACATTGTTTTATTTAGGTTTCTAGTTCTATAAAATATACTTGGAATATATATTTCATTTTAAGAATCAAAAAGCTTTATGAAAATGGCCTGTTTATTTAAAACAAATTTTAATGTATTTATCTACAGTTTGTGTGTATGGACGGTCAGGGCACTGTACAAATACATTTTTGTGCAAAATAAAGTGGTCAACATCTGAAGACAACAATTCTTACATTTAGGTTAAGAATACTTCAGGCATATTTTCCCAGATTCTCATCAATTTTTTAAGTGCCAACCCTAAAAAAGCTAGTGTCTATAGAGCTAGTTCAAAATGTATTCATACCCTTGTTGCAATGTAACAAAGTTGTTTTCAGCAAAAACATCATGTGTACATTACTTACTCCATCAATAAATGAAAACACAAACAATTGTAAGACTGTGAGTATTGGATGAATCAAAATAATAACCAGAATAATTAAATAGTTACATAAATACAAAGTGTTCAAATTTATTCACATTAATTAATAATGTGCGTAATGCAAGACGTTTTCGGAGGGGAAAATCATGAGTACTTTACTTATTACATCAATAAATGAAAATATTAATATTAATATTTTAAGAATACTAGTATTGGATTAGTCAAAATAATTGCATATTTACCTAATGATCAAATTTCTTCACATCCTGTTAATAATTTGAAAATAGATTCCTAATCTGATGTTTTTAATCATCTTTTAGTTTGACAAAGCACTTTGGGGGCTTAAAATAAAACTTTTGGAAGTCATCTTGGTTGGCACTGGGTACTGAGGGTGGGAAAACACTACGAACACTTAGGATCACTTCAGAAAGAGGAAGTTAAAACACGGCCTGAAGATTGAAGGTAAAAGACTACTGACCTCGACAACTTAAGTGATGACTAAACAATAATCCATACAGATCTCAATTACTCCAGTAACAGCTATAACAAAGTCCAAAAGGCATTCCTGTTTCAGCTGTGGTATTCGTCACCAAGAACTGCAATGAGATGGTTGCTACTCCATCAGAAACAGGAGATAAAACAGTTTTACCCACATTTGCAGTTCAAAAAGTGGAATGGGAATCTAACTCACACCCCAGGAAGTGAAGATAGTACAGTCTTTTGTGCATTTTCCACAAAGGAGTTTCATCATCAGGAGTCAATGTCTACAGAATTACAATTGGAGGCTGACTTCATGAATCTGGGGTTCGTGTTAGAAATGGCAGCACTGAAAGAAAATAAATTCACTTGCCAAACAGCAACTAATGGAATCCCCAAGTCAAATGGGAACACATGCTGTAGCTGGATACAACTCAAATGGAGTTTATGAAGTCACACCAGGAACATTAGAAAGCTCACACAGAAGCTACCTAGAACAGGCCACTTTTCCAAACCAAATATCCAGGCAAACGTGTTAGGGATGCAACTTTGAAAGATCTGTAAAGTTCTATGTCTGAAGTGGGAATCACCATTGATTTATCAATAATGTCCTGATCTCTACACAAAGCTAGCCTATATGGTGAGTGGTCTTTACTGGAAAAGACTCATTATAAATCTTATATAAGATACACTGCATACTGGTCACTGTTGCACCATAGCTGGTTGCACTGTTGTGCAACACTGTGCTGGAATGACAGGCAGAAATCTAACTGCAGGAGTTAGGTTGACTCAGGAGGCTACAGAAGTCTGAAGAGTGTGAAAAACAGAGCCAGATGATGCATGCAGACAGACAGGGAAGGCTGGAGCAGTATGGCTCACTGGGAAGCCTGGAGCAGTGAAGCCGACTGGGAAGTCTGGAGCAGTGAGGCTGACTGGGACGCCTGGCGCAGTGAGGCTCAATAGGAATCTCGGAGAAACAAAGCTGACAGAAAAGGCACATTGCTGGAATCAGGCTGATTGTGGGCGGAGATTAGGAAGTCAAGGAAAGCGGCTTTTCTGAGATCCTGCAAATGCAGGTATCTCAGGCAGGCTGGGAATTGCACTACTCCAGGTAGTGCAAAGGCGGGCTCAATGTCAGAGTACTGATTCAGGGACTTAAATGAGGTGCCTCGTTTAAATGGAGGATTGATTAGAAGTTTGGATCTCTGATTGAAAGGGAGACTGACACACAGACAGGTGGCCTGACCTGGTCCTCACTGGCTCAGGTGAAATGCGAGCACTCCTGGGAATGCTGCAGTTACTTGTGGCAAGCGTAGGCTGTGAGCAGCTCCAAGCCCGGACATGACACAGACAAGACAAACATTTAGCTTTGTAGTCTTACTGTTAAGCATTATGTCCGATGTAGACAGCTCAGGCTTAAGCTTGGTGGTGGCTGTAACATGTTATGGGAATTCGTCTCAACGGCAGGGACTGGGACATTTGTCACGATTGAGGGAAAAATGGATGGTGCAAAATACAGGCGGAACTGAGTGGAAACCTGCTTGAGTCACCCAAGAATCTAAGACTGGGTTGAAAAAAAAAATTTTAGCAGGAAAACGACATGAAGCACAAGACTTGAGTCATACTGAAGTGGTCTAATAAGAAAAGATCTAACTTAAGTCCAAAATAAAATTGAATACGAGACTTAGGATTGTATTCCATCAACGATTCAGTGTCAGAACTGGAGCAGTTTTGCCAGGAGTGAACAAAAGAACATATAACAGGGTTCAGTCTGATTATCACAGTTTTAAAAAAACAAAGTTGGTCTGAAAAAAGAGTTTTATTTATAATTAATCAGGTTGACTGAAAATATATTTTCAAAACTGATTATGAAGCTATGAAGCTATTTCTAAATCTATCACCAAATGGTTAAGGGAACATAATAATTTACAGTACCATTAGATATTACAATCCCTAGACCTAAGGCTAACAGAACATTCATGATAAGAACTAAAGAAAGTAGATAAGAAGCAGAATGAGCTGGAGCAAATCTGGATGAACACTTGAACCTGTTAAAGGTGTACAGGATGCATCTTCTCTATGTCAAAATCAAGGGAGGACTGTTGAAATACTGATTGCTGGGGTGTGAAAAAGAACACTATTTTAAAAAAATCTTCCATTATTTTAGATATATTTCTTATTTGTATCCAATACTGATGGTCCTGATGCTTATTCTTGTTTTCATTTATTTATGCAAGAAATACTGAATGTACCCTTGCATCTAATTTTTTTGCATCTACTGGGGATCTTAAGTTACACTGCAACAAGGGCAAGAGTCATTTTAATATATCCATTCAACCCAAAGTAACTGGGCCTAAAACCTTACACTGTGCGTGACAGAACAGGACCCCCCCTGAAAATGTTCTTTTTCTAGTTTGCCAGCTCATATCATGTGGCAACTTTACTTCCAGCACTTCACAAGACAGCAGAAGTCCCTGTTGAACCTCCAATCAGATGTTATTTTAAGCCCTGTTTTTAGTTTTTGCATTTTGCATAAACAGCAGGCACGATTTTAAAAAAAGTATTTATACAAAAGCAACAGGTTTGCTAGCCACAAAGCATTAAAGAGTAGAGGAAGATAGCCAAGAGAGAGAGACACACAAACACAGAAATAAAAAACAAAGAAACAGTTTCTGTTACCTTTCCCACAATTCTTTTTGGTAGCTGACGAAGAGGAAGGAATCATAGGTAATTTCATCAACTCAGCACGATTTGACTCAGTCAGAAGGTAGTGCGACTTATAGGCATATGAACTGAATATGTTGTCAGAATTGTCCTGCACTAATAGCCCTATACATAAAACAAACAGGAAAAATGATGAGTTGCAATGAAACTACCCATGATTCCAGAAAACAAAACAACAACAAAAAAGACAAACTATTAAACATATGTAAATGTGAGAAAACAGAAGAATAAACTGACAGTTGTCTAAAAAGAAAGGGAGTTTGTCTTTAAAAAAAATCAAATTCCCAATTAAAAACCAATAGAGTACAGTAACATATGTTCTGTAACTATAACTATGTTGAACAGCTATAAAGTATAAAAAGGCAATATAAAAGTCTTATTCAAATAAACTGAAGAAAATTGTTTAAAAAAATACAATTTTAGAATCAATATCTCTTGATCTGTGCTGTGTATATTATAAAATGACCTAGAATTTTAATTCATCTGTAATTCAGTATAGATTTCATGTTTAAAGAATAATACATTTCCTTAGTTGCATACAAATAGGACCTTCAAATGGAGTTCTAAAAATGTCAACTTCAACATGCAAAGATGAAGAAGCACATCAGGTGACACGAAATACATTTAAAACCCAGTATGACATATGTTCACATCAGTCTTTAAAGCAGTGTGCTACATCGCCCAGGATTTTTTTAAATTTCGTTAGAATTTTAAAACATGTCCTCAAGCCAACAGTGTGTTTTTACTGAAGCACGGCACTAGAAACGAAGACATATTATTTATAGAAGACACAGAAGAAACTAAGATATATTATTCAAGATATTTTCACACACTGTGTGGATTGATTCAGCTGCACACCTTCTCGTAAGGTTTACAAATACAGTTAATCAATTTGTCAATATCAGTCTAAAAACACTACATTTTCATACAATCTGTTTAGAAAGTTTTCATTAGAAAAGGGGAAATAAACTTGGAAGCTCTAGAAACTTTTTGTCAAAAAAATATGGAGGTCAAACCTGCTTTTTGGATTTCTTACACGAAACACTTTACTGTTGGATCTATACCAGCCATAGAAAACAACGATGTCGGTAAAAGGGACTAACATTTAAATTTCACTTGGAAATTTATAAACACTCGAAGGACATCATTTGCAAAAAACTGAAAATAGCTAAGTTCTTTGAGTACTCCTGTCCATTTCTTATTTTAGAACAGGTTTAAGGCAGATGTGCAATCATGCAAAACAGTTCTCAGCTAGTCAACCACCCAAGATCTACGCTGAACTTTTAATTTCAGCACAATTAATTCAATTATGTTGAGATTGTTCTTATGAACTACTGTTTTACTGCACAATCTTGGAATACAAATACTGTATGTGGTTTGAGGCAAACCTCAGATGAAACATGCTTTAGAAGGGAAGAATGCACTTTTTGGGGGCTTTTACAAACTCCGGTATTAGTGCAAAGCACATAAAAAAAACACCATTTCTGCACTACATGCATTTTTCAGTTATTTATAATGCTCTAGTTCAAGTTGATTTAACACAATGTTAGTGATTCTGACTTCTGAAGTTCAAAGACAGTTAACACTCCTACAACACATTAATTCATGACACTATTCAATGTATAAACCACAAGTATGCTTAAATAAACATAAGCATCTTGTTAAACACTTGATCACAAATAAAGACTAAGGATGTATGTCTGAAGTCTGGTTTGCAAAGGATAAAGTAATTTATTTTGTCATTTTTTTTGCTTTTTGCATTGCATTTTTCATCTCGGAGACCCCTAACTGCAGCTATATGCATACAAACAGGCAGAAGTAGCTCAATGACAGGTGTCGATGAGGACACGTCATGACAAGCCATTAGTGATGGTGCAAGCGGAGGCTTTGTTTTAGCCTCCTCCTGCTAGAGAGTAAATTGGACACACATGCCCTGACTAACTGATTTGCCTCCTGTGGAACAAAATTACACAGGCGGTAAAGGGTTCATCTGATTGGCCATGTGGATAACAGAACATTCCTCAAGAGCAGCAGTCAGAGTACTGTACAGTATATGTGAAGTCAGGTGCAAAGGCATGGGGCTAAGCTGTGTCTAAGCCCCTGCAGTTCAGGGAGGGAGTTAGTAGTAATATGAACTGTAGGAAGTTAGATATTGTTGTAAAAAAGTGATTTTTCTCCTGTGCTTCAGAAGTCAGCCAGCAGCCCTAAACCCAGTTTTAATTCTTAGAGTTAGTTAATACAAAACTTGAAAGGATTTTGATCTGGGTTAGATTTACTAACAAAGATACTTCCAGAGTGAATTTATCATTTTATATAAATCTGTAATCCTGGATTAATTTTAATTCTCCAGAGGCACTGAAGTGCAGTAGATTAGGTGCTGTTTATAATTGGAAACTGGGTGTCAGAGGTTAAATTGGGAGAGGCCCACCAGTAGGTTCCTGATGAGACAGGAACCAAGTGTCTTCCAGTGAAGGAAGACTAGCTGTGGAAGGAAGAGCCCAGTGTGCCAGAGGTTTCAGTAAAAGAAAGTGAAGAGTATATACTTTGTAAGGAAGAGAAATGGTGAACTAAGAGGAGTTACCTGTTCCTGCCCTCCTGACAACTATATTGAAAATCGAGGGTGATGAGAGGAATTGGATTAACTTTGCTATAAAAACCTTTGAGTGATTAACTTTTTTTTTTTTGGAATGAGCAGGCTTCTCCAAAAGGGGACTACCTGTACATCATAAGAACCCTTGAAGGGTTCCACAACCTCAACAGTGATAGACCACCCAAACAGACCCCCATAACAAACTGGCTCTCGGCTGTTTCACCACACCACTAGAACGCACACTGCAGGCAGACCCCAGTTCCTTGACACTGTCTCCAAATGAGCCGGTAGTTGTGACACGAGCAACTGACGATTGGCCTTTACAAAGTGACACGGACACCACTGATGATGTATGCTAAACTTTATTAAAACTGCACTTCAATATAGAATCTGAACTTTTCTTTCGATGTTTTATTTGGGGAAAAAGTCCCTACTGTCTAAATGCTTTTTTTTTTGTCTTTGACCACTGCTCAAGTTACTTTATGAAAAAACTAAAAAAAGTAACAAGTTCTTCTGAAAGGCTGCTCAAAGGTGAACAAGAGGGCATAACCTAGGGAAGCAAGTTCATGTCACCAGGTGTATCTCAAAATGATTAACTTAAGTCTATTCTGGAGCTATACGTCCTGAAAAGGGTGGTAAATTAAACTAACTATATCCAGAAAATAACAACAGATACTAAATACATGTAGAGGGGATATACACCAAACAAGATCACAAGTAATGGGAGACTGTGTAAATATACCATTTTAAAACTAGGTTTTCAGTCCTGAATGAGACATTTGATCTCCAGAAAAATCCTGTTTGCATGACTAACTTTAAAAAACAGAAATCCTAAGACCAGTACTAGGGTGACTTTTCAAGCAATAAAGGAGTCAGACCAAGCTTACCTCGGGCACAGACGAAACACCAGCCTACGTTTACAGGTGAGGTTATGTGTCCATTCTTTTTGGAACTTGAATGGTTGCTACATATGATAATATGTGGAGTGATTACTACACTGCCAGCTGCAAAGCAGCTATCCCCTGTGTGATAGGCAGTGGGGCACCGGATACATCTCATCATGCGACCTGTAAGAAGCAGAACAGGGCACCGTGGAGGAGTTGTACAAAGCTTTTGACATTCCATGTAACAAGAATACCAGATTCTGTGTCAGGCCACCTGACCCTTAATCTTGGGATCCCCATGTCTTCTCAACTTTACCCCAAGTGGGGAAATGACTCAATCTAAATATATTTGAGGAGTTTTTAAGGAGTTCCAAAGAAAACTATTTAAAACAAAATTAATAGCTCAAACCACCTAAAACTGGAAGTTTAACAGTAGAGAGTTTGGGTAAGTACCCCAGGTCCCTGCCTGAAAAAAAAGACAAAGGTCACAAAGTGCCACAGCAGGGAAAATAAGAATATTATCTAAAGCACAACAGAATTTGGACCACCTGTTCTAGTTTGATTTTGGATTAACCATGGTCTGCGAGCACTCAGGTGATCCACCAAAAACCTCTAACAAGTAGTAAAAGAAAACTCCTGAAATCAATGGCTGGACAGGCCAGCCTCTTTCTGGGCAGGTGAGTGGTGACTTACAGGGAGTCTCAGAAAGGGGATATATCTACAGTATGCTAATTCTCAAGGAAGCATCCAGGTTCTTCTTAAAGACTCCAAGGGTCTCTTATCTTATTCCTTATGATCTCCCAGCAAGAAAATGAGATCGACGTACAATTCTCCTTCCATCTTCTTTAATGCAGACGTAGCACTTCAATGAACATTACTAGTATTAACCATTTAACCTATTAGCAAGTATAAAGAAACTTAAGTTTGACCATGACATCACTTTCTTTACCTCTTACTTGCTCCATACCATTTTTCCCCATAGCCAGCCTAATGCTGTTGTAAAATTAGTTTAGAATATCATCACTCTAAAGTAATGTCTTGCAATAAATGCAGCACTAGAGCTGTGCTAGCTGGAAGTCAATTAGTAGCACAGAAAGCTGGAAATTGCATTGGTAGGAACTGAGCCCTCCAGCTGGTAAAACCTTAATATCCTACCTCACTTTCTTCATCTTCATTTAAAGTACATTTTGTCTTCCGCTTAATTCACCAATACTCACCCACCCTCAGCGTACATGGTTTAGTAATACACTTCAAGAAATCTACTGTCATTAGATGTCAAGATATTTTATAAACAAACTTGATCAATGATGTTCTATAAATAAGCCAAGATGCGCACACCCGACACTTAGGCCACCATGAAATTTAAGAAACGCATAAATGATTAAAAAAAATCTCTCTGTGGATAATAAAAAGAGAAGTCTTTAGAAATAAGAAATGGCTTTCTTCCTGGGACGGATATTGAGGAAAGCAGCAGGGAGTACCTTTGGATGCCTTGTGCATGTCTCGCTCGAGAGCACAGGTGGCGCAGCTGTGCTGGGGGCAGCGGAACCCCTTGGACTCAAAGGTGGCATTGGCGTGCTTGCGCACACACGACTCGTGGTAGAACCGGCCACAGCCGCTGACCGAGCAGCGCTTCACGTCGCTGCCCGACGCCTTGCAGGAGAAGCAGGAGTGAGCACCTGGAAGAACACAGAACAGGACTGAGGCCACCCTGCACGCCGAGATCTGTGACAATTAATGCTCTGCCGGCACGTGTAAGCGGTGTACACCCATGCAGCCTGCGCCAGCCCTCAACAAGTGCCCACGATCAACAAGAAAAAGACTGAAAAGAAGAAAAAGGGAGTTTAAAAAAGTTGAACCCCATTTTAAGGTTATCTGAAATTCTTGAACAGATTCTGCAGGTGCTTTAGAGATTTGACTTTTAACATTTTGCTAGGGACTGACCTTTCATTTGAAGTTAATGTGTGGGCTTGTTGGCAATCATGTTTTAATTAAACTGTATAAGTGGTACGCAATTCTGGGCTTTAAGGCCTGTTCAAGATCTAGCAGGAATCATATCCTAAAGGTCATATCAGCAGTGTGTCTTTCTTTACAAGCAAATGTCAGATTTCACAGGAAGCTTCCAATGATTCACTTGCATCTATCAGTGGGAGCCAGCGGAAAGCATTTGGTAAGCGACACTTCTCAATACTATGAGTCACTCGACAAAGCTAGAGTGAATGAAAACCAAGCAAATCCATAGAAGAGATATGTCACTTGAGGATGGAAGGACAATTTTAGTACAAACAATGTCAATTGATAATGCTTCTTGACATCAGTTTTCAGAATTTACACTAATACTTATTATGCACTTTCAATATAACAACTATGAAATGCTGCAAAGGGCATGCAAATCACAGAAAAGAAAGCATAAAGTCTACTGAAAGAATACAACTTACAGAAGATTTGAAGCTTCTTCTGTTAATCCTAAATCTGATTTTATTAACAAAATGTTGGCCTTAATGCAAAGTAGTGTTGGAACCATCATGTTCAAATGAGAACGTTTTGACTTTAGTTTTCAGTGCCCAGATGTTCCTCCAATGGCTATCTAAGCATTTACTGAAATATATAAGAGCCTTAAAGGAAGAGTTAGGGATTTTAGACTCTTTCCTATTGAAGCTATGAAGACGTGCATCAACACTGTGCTCTCTGTTACAGCATTTCCTTTCCTATAGAAACGAATGTACCCTGCAGTGTGTGCTGTTGGAACCAGCCAGGTGACTTACCATTTTTACACTCCATGCATGTGAACTTTCCTTCCAACAAGGAAGTCAGTCCTAAACACTCTAAATGGAACAGTCTGCTGCAGTCTCCTTCACAGGAAACAAGTGTGTCACCAAAGTTTTCACAGATCTGATAAGGGGGAGAAATGTTAATGGTAATCTGCATAAATGACTGAACTCTTTCAAGCTTCATTTATTAAAAATCATCCCTTCAAGAGCTGGATAAAAGCAAAATTGTCCTTGCCAGTTCTTTCCAGCACTTAGACAGATTTAATTCTTGAAAACCCTTTTTCCTAACTGAGTTACACAGCTAATATAAGCTTAATCGCACTTCAGGTAAAAAAGCCAAAAAGCCCTTCTTCACATGTGCTTTTACTGTACTAGAATTACCCGATCCAGTAGGTTTTACCTCTGAACACTAACCATTGCTATTATTAATATTATTGATAATCACAACTTTTCCAAGAGAAGCACTGTAAGAAACAGAGTAAAACTGCACTCACCTGACAAACGGTGTCTTTCTTAGTGGTGCTTGTCCCTTGCCGTGACAGACTGGAGTCCACAGACTGGGCATCTGAGGCATCAGCGTCTGCAGCTGTGGGACTGTCTGATCGCTTCCCAAACCCCACCTGCAGGTCAAACGTCACTGACACTAACGCAACACAAGAGGAGCACACGTCCCTGAAACTAACAAACCTGAATGCAGAATAATATAATGTGTTAACGCTCATTTGGATATGTCCCACAACATTCTTTCCTTCACGTTTGTTGTTTCCTGAAATGCCAGCCTGGAATGGGGTTAAGTTAAGACCTGAGCAGATAAGCTGTATATTAAAATCAACTTTTCAATGAAAGCCAATCACCGATTATAGGTTACATACCTGGCAACTCAATGTCTGCATTTTATTTGCCAGAGTGTATGTGTTACTTCCTATGGTAACCTGGCATTAAATATTGGGTTTATAATTCATTTTTGGTGGGAGGGAAAAAGTTTTGGTTTTAAAGTGGGTCTTAGTTTTTATTACATTTTGTACGTGTTCTGAGCCTCATAACCATGCACCTTATCAGACTCTGGATCTGTGTTTGTACTGTATTTGCTTTCCTACAATAGTAACTGGCAGTTAGAGTGCCAGACTCTGACATGGAGGCTGTGGGTTCAAAGGTGAGACAAAGAAGATATACCTTTGAGCAAGGTGTGACACCAGAAACTACCCCAGTAAAATACCCAGCTGAATGAATGGGAACAAATTTAAGTCACTCTGATTAAACATTTCTGCCAAAAAAAATATTTAATGTGATCAACAGAACATGAAATGAAGAGACACTACAAAACAAAAAATATCTTCAACCAGGCTGACAGCTTGTACCACTGCAGATGAAACTGCACCCAAAAACTTTGTCACAACTACTAAAACTACTAGTGTCTTGCATAATTAAATCTCATCTACCTCAATTCATAAACTGGGCTGAAATAGGATGCTTAATCAGCATTGCAAATTCCTCTAGTCGCCAATGTTAACTTTTCCATTTATGTTTTTCAAAACAGTTACCGTAACAGATGAAAATAGTAAGGCCTTACTGCTGAGAATCATCTTCTCTCTTTCCTACCTGAGAGTCATTCAGACCCCTAGAATCAGAGTCTGATGTGTCACGGTACTGGTAGCTGGCCATCTCCACGTCAGTTGATGCGCGACTCCGTTTCTTCAGAGGTTTACAAGAATCTGAAATCTCACTAGCACCTATAAGAAATGAAACAACCTGTAAGAAACCTAAAGCTGTATCACAGATAAGACACATAAGGAAATAAAGCAACTTGCAAGTTTCAAAAGCACTATGGGATAGAGAACAGTTTTCTCACAGACTGAAATCAGATGGATGCCAATAAAAAGTTCTCCATTTAAAGGAGCACATTACTTCCCCAGAGCAGGAGAACTACATCCATTACTAGACAGTATAAAGAATTAATGCATTATATTTAGACATCTTTCATTAACTGAATATTAGAAGTATTTGAAACACTTTAAACTAGAGCAATTTAAAATGTGCAGTAACCGCTGTTAAAAATTGTGTCCATAAGCTTCAAAAAAGGAAAATATTTCAAAAGAAGACATACATGCATTTCTGTATGATTTCATACATAAGAGCCAATTTAAAGATATGAGGTTTAAAAGTTCTATCTTATCTCTGAAGTCCTAAAATAAAAAATATATGATAGAATAAATAATAAAAAATACCCTTTTGTGATCCTGTCTTCAAAGCTGCCTGTGGGACCATTTCTGTCTGCAATGAAAAAATATCTCAGCTTTAGGAAAGGGTAACTACAGTGTAGCTGAAAATTTGGTGCAGTTGATACTCGAAAGATTCTTGGAACAGCCTAGACCTGAGGCCCGTGCAACTTCAGCCAGTTTAGTGGTTCAGAATTCTTAGACACGCCAACAAATTGTTGACAGTCATTCATTTGTGACACATTTCCCTTACAAGTACTCTGTAGTCGTAGGTGAATACTTGATAGCACTGTTCCAAAGCTTGAATGTTGGTTATATTTAGTTTTGACTTCCAGCTTAACAATCAGAGCATAAAAGACCAATGCTGGATAATTTTTTCAGTTTTGGATAAATCCTGAAAAATGTTTTACCTGTTCTTTTTTCATCTTTTTCTTTGGCACCGGGTCTGTGCCTTTCTCCGACTCTGACCGACTTCGTACAGACCTCCTCTGTTGTTTTCTTTCCAACAAACCTGGGGAAAAACATCAGATGTAATACAAGAATTCCCCTTCTCAGTGCAATTAAACCTACATTTAATGTTTTTTTATTTATTATGCACATCATGCTCTCCTTTGCAACATTGGAAACTCAGTACATTGTCACTTGAGTGAGGATAACTCAAAAAATGTCCTCTTATGGTATTTAGTGTTTTATCATGCAAAAGCATCTTAGGATGCATACTAAAAAAATCATTTGAGCCAATCTAGGCTGAAGAGAACTTTGTGGTTTATGGAACCACTGATTAATTTTCTCTCCCCCTTTGGACTTTTGAATCAGATCAGATTTACCGGGGTCTGCCACTTTTCATGCAACAAGTCCCAAAAGAGGGTCAGTGTCAACTGGTAACACAGCTCTCGACGATCAGGAAGGTTCAGCAAACTGATGATGCCCTGGTGAACTCAAGCCCGCTTAATCCGAGCAAGCTTGCGCATTTGTGTGCTGCTGCTTATAGAAACCATCACAGTGGCTAATGATACATCCTAGATTTCAACTGGAAAACTCCAGGCCATGAGGCTCAATCTCCAATCTAAACAAGCACTCATTGACTGAACCACTCAGGGGGCTCCAGGATTCAAATCTTTTAGCTCTCTAAAGCAAACGTACGACAGGAACTTTAAACAGAGCATTGGGAGACAGGCCTAGATCAGATTTGATACAACAGTAACCGTCTTTTTGGATCTTTGGACAAGAAAATACACCCATTTTAATGTACATCCATTTCCTCAGAAGCTGAGATGATACATTAACAGCCTTCCTATGAAATCCCAAAGAGAATGCTATATATTGAATGGAAAGACTACACTGCTGATGCTTAGTCAGCTTCTCAAAACATATGTATGCAGCTTGAAACAGAAAAACAACTGAAGGAATGCAAGGTAGTATGGGTTTCTAAAACGCTTAAGAAATCTGTTTTATACACTTGGGGATCCCAAGTTGTAGCAACATTCAACAGATGTTGTGGTTTTCAATATAACTAAAAAAAAGCTTTTATAAAAAGAACAAGGATGCTTCACCCATAAGTGAATGATGAAAAAGGACTCTAATGAAAAACAGGCCATTTCCAGTCAAGAGGAATGGAAGTCTTCAGAAACAGCAAAGACAGAGGAAAATGTGACAACAAACCACAGGAAATTTTGAAAAACATTTCCAAGGCAGATAGGTTTTACAAAACAAAATTTCAGGGCAGATCTAAACTCATTCCATCTTGTGGGCAAACCTGTATTAGGGAAAATCAAAGGAGGAACGTCTTCCTTATAAAACAAGCACTGAAAAGCAAATAATTACAAACACCCTTTCAAAACATTGTTAAGTTTATTAGAAATAAGAATGGATTTCCAACTTCCACTGGATTACACATTTGTAGGATGTGATGAAATGAAAAGATGATGATCAATAACACAAAGCTGTCACATCTTGGAGGTACCTGAAGACACCTCTGCAGTGGAAGAGTGCTGTACCATTCCTGGGTCACTCCTACGTCCAACAGGTGACACAAGCCTCTCCTGCTCCTTGGAGCTCATCTCAGGTTTGCTACTTGCTCCCTGCAGAAAGAGAAACACAAATAGAGAGGTTGTCTGGTTTAACACAACGCTTCTGTCATAGAGCAGATGGCATAACATGCATGCTTAAAAAAAGACATCTCACAACAATCACTCTAAATTCAAAACTTTATTTTAATCACAATAAACCAAAGCAAAGTCTGACATTTACTCCAATATACTCGTCCTTCATCAGAAGTAAAAGCTGGGGCCTTCTCCACTCTTAAACTACAATCAATAGTTCAGATGACAAACATGACAATTAATTATTAATCGTCACATTCAATTAGGCGTAAAAAATAAAAGTTAAACAGACAAGAGAAACATACAAGATTCACACTATAAAGACTTTCTATACAAAGTTCATTATGAATTTAAATGTAAATTTGAGAGGAAACTCTAAATTGAATAGGCCTAGATTGGATTAAGATAAACCTAGCGAAGAATAGCATATTTATACACTACTTTCTTAGTAGAGCTAAGAATTTGAAGAATTAGATAAAAACAGATCTGTCACATAATGAACAGAAAACCAACACTTTCATTACTGCTTTCTGGTAAATACCAATGTAGAAAATGCAATCAACATTGTTATCCCAAGAAAACTTAAGTGCTTTTTTATCCCAGGTCAGGATTGCGATTTGAAGGGTGATTAATTGTAATTCTTTGCAATAATATCTACTGTCTCTGCAAATGATAAAAATCTGTGAATGTAGGAATGCAAAGAACGTAAAGTTTGGACTACTCTTACTTCAGAATGTGATGCAAAGATGGCACAACATTACAGGTCTATTTTATTTTGGAACTGAAAAGATAAAACAGTTTAGATGAGGGAATTTTCTTAAGAGAAACACATTGGATTTATCATCTAAAAACATTAACACCTTGGGGATTTCAATGTAAGATTGATAAGAGTGTTGATCTTTAACATTTTTTCTGTGAACCTTGCCGTTTCTACTTCTTTACACTTATTCAAACGGATAATTCCATGTAATACAGTACTAGGTTTTTCTATATCCAATCCAGGCTGACTGGATCATATATACAAGTTTGAAGTGTTTCCTTAGAAGATATAAAAAATGGCAAATTCAAGATGAACCTTATATTTGGTAATGTGAACCTTGCATCTTATTCCAATTATTCTTAATCAAATGCTTAGACAGATTATAAATTAGTACTTATTCAACTGTATTGTCATTGTAAGAATCAAGCTAACCTCTACAAGCTACACATCAATGTTGTTGAAGCCTATACGCTGGATTAAATGAAGAAATGGCAGGACAAGATCCTTAGATCAATTGGCTAGTAGCAAACAAAAGAGCTATATGAGACAAATGGCAGCCTCTAGTTTGTAACCTTGAGGTCCTATCTGAGAGAACACCTGCTTTTATCTCCAATGAAGGTCAGCTATTTTCAGCCAAAATTGATCCCTATTTGGTGGCCACATCTTGATTCCATTGCTACTGGTTGAGCTCCTTCATGCCTTTTGCTGTAACACCTGCTTGATGGACTACCAAGTGCACAAGTTACTCCTTTACTTGTTGATTAAGTGTAATGTACTAATTACCAGTAATATGAATTTTAAACTCATATGAACGTCCAAAGGTAATGGCTTGTGGGAGTACCGGCCTGCAAGGACCACATTTCCCAGGATCCTCTGCCACAATGAGCTGCAGGAAGCAAACTGGCCAGGTGACTGTTTAAAAAGCAGGAAGAGGAAGCTTCCAGTATTAGTCTGTTTGTGTGAGTGGATGGCTACTATCTGAGGGGTTTGAGGGTAGAACGCCACTCACCAGAGGGATAAGGACTTACCTGTAGATGTGGGCTAAAGGATTTGCAAGTTTCTGGTAAAGGAGTAGTGAGTTCTGAACTTTAGGAAACTTTATGAAAGATTTTAGAAAGAGACTGTTCTGAGAATTTTGTTTTCATGTCTGGTAAGCAATTTGGTTCATGGTTGTGCTGTTCCTATCACTGGTGTTTCCAACCTTACAGCTCTGTGTTTGGGGTGTCTGTTGGCCTAGAGCAGCCCATTTTAAAGATCCTGTTATGACACGCCCCACATTATGTCACACAGTATTTTAAATTGTGAAAAACTTTCAAGACGAAACTGCCGAATTTTGACAAAAAGAAACAAAGAGCTTGTACCCTGGGGGGGCAGACCGGCTGATCGCTGGGCTTGTCCTCTCCTTCAGATTCCTGCGGAGAGGGAGTCCTGTCCCTTGGCAGAGGCCAGTCGCACTTCTGGATCTCCACGTTCAGCTTCTTCATGGTTATGGAGAGCGGGAGGAGCTTTCTGGCAGCGGCTGTCTTCCAGGCTGTTTTAACTGGGGGCTGCTGAGCCCCCTGGTCTTTGGGCTCCTCCGACGGCTGGTTTTGGGGTACAGGGCAGCGCGGCTGCTGCTCGTCTTGCTCCGGTTGTGCCGGCTGCGGAGGCTCCTCGGAGTTCGTCATGCTGCACTGCCTTCTGGGCTGCTGCCGGCGTGGCGGGAGGCCGGGCCTGGCGGAGCTCACCTCCCCCGAGGGGTCAGGTCGCGGGCTGGAAACGGCACTGCGAGTTCGCCGGGCTCTCCTGTTGTCAGCCTTGGAGGTGGGTTTTTCTGCGGGGGGCGGAGATGTTTCTGGTTCTTTGTCCACGTAGATGAAGGTGTAGTTCTCTATCCTCTCCTCCCGGGTCATCTGGAAGGCATCCTCCGCGTGGCCGATCCCTACCTCCCACTGAGCACGCTCCCTCTGGGGAATCGGTTTGAGGAGCTGGGGAGAGGAAACAAATGTATCCCCGTCACACGTCTGTAACTTGAGGAAATGGGGGGCTTGGGGGCGATAGAGAAAGGTTTTGCTTTTTTATAATCTGCCTTCCTTATGCTACCTCCTAAATTCTAGTGTCCTAAATTCAGACAAAAAGGTCAAAAAAGAGGAAAAGATTACTCAGTGTATACATTCAATACAAATTCAATGCCCCAGTATAGTGACGGGGACACTATACTTTCAAAAAGGTGCTGTCCTTCGGATGAGATGAGAAACCGAGGTCCTGACTCTCCATGGTCATTAAAAATCCCCGGGAATTTCTTGAAAAGAAAGGGGTGTTAACCTGGCATCCTGGCCAACTTTCCCATTGGCCTTTACCAGTCATGGCCTCCTAATAATCCCCATCTCTGAATTGGCTTCATCACTCTGTTCTCCTCCCCACTGATATCTCATGTGTGGTGAGTGTTCTGGTGCACTATGGCTGCCGTCGCCTCATAACAAGGTTATGTGTACACATAACCCCAGGTGGGGCTACACATTGGTGGAGGGGATCCCCGTTACCTGTAAAAGCACTTTGAGTGGAGTGTCCAGAAAAGTGCAAGGAATTATAATTATATAACACTTATATAGATATATTTATACCTATATATAGGAAGATATCTTAAACTTTCAAGATATAATATATGAACTTCTGTTTTGTGAATTTGACCACTTTCACATTAAGGCCGCAACCTTTCACTCACAAAACAAAAATTTAAGCTAAAGACCTACAGCATACTTCGAGAACAATGCCTTGGTATGTCAAGCTGCATCTTGAGTACCTTGTGTCTTTCTGCAGGATTTGAGGCTCGCCGGAGGGTGTCTGCCTGCAGCTGCTCAAACTGGTGCCGCCCTTGATATACAACTACCCTCTTCTCGTGGATCCACGCCCTTTCAGGAACACTCCCAAAAAACTGCACATGATACTCCCTGTGACCTGCGCACAAACCAGAAAGGTAGGCTAGTGCACATTTGGAGAAAGGCTATAATGCAATTAAACATCATTTTACATCTGTACTGCCCTTCATAGCAGTGAGATAAATAAGATTCCCATTCTGGTGCCATTTTAGGTTTTACAAGCTACAGAAAATCAAATTAAAAGTTTTAAGATTTTTACCATTTATCATCTATGCAAAACTAATAAAACAGCATGAAATATTACACATCTAGCATCTGCCTATAAACAAGAACCTGCATCTCATAACATCTGGCTTTGCTCAGTCTGTTGTTGAACAGGAGCTATCCCTGTAAACTTTCAAAGTAATTCACAGAGAGAACCAGAAAGCTATTCTGCATTTACATACAGAACATGCTAATGTTACAACGGAATTGAACAGGACAAGAGCAGACCATCATAAAATTAATTAAGATGGAAATGTAGATGTGTAACATATAAGAAAACATCCCTTCATTAAATAAACATATAAATGTTTAAATTACAGAAACAACTGCAATTTTCATATTTTGTATTACAATCAATAAGGTAACTGAGCCTCAGCACAGCCCTCAATATTTATAGTACTTTCTAGCACAATATCAAATCTGTGTGATCACACTTTTACTGCAGAACAGGAGTGTCTGAAATAAATCTTGAATCTGCTAAATTATTGCTGCCCGAAAAATTTGATCAAGACCTAGAAAATCTAGACTTTGTGGGATTCTGTATGTTACCTCTAGTGTTTATCCTGGTATGAACATCTGACTGTGGATCACAAGATACCATGCAAGGCCACCAAGGGTACGTCCCAACCTTTGCCCAGACCAAATCACCGACTTCATGGTCCTTACAACAACCAGTACCTGTTATAACTGTAGGAAAGTGCTTCTGAATCTGCCAAGAAACAGAAAGTTAAACACAGTTCTTGTTACCACCTTTGGACCTGAGAAGAGACCAACACAGCAGTGCATTTTAAAAACCCACAGAAACAGGCACACCATTCTCCATAAAACTATCTGGAGATTAAAAATATTCATAAATCACATCTGGAGAATCACAGATATACCACTTTTTCAGAAGAAAAATGACTTATTGCAAGAAAGACAAGTTCATTCCATCCTTTTTTTTCCACTTCTTTCTAAGCACATTTCCTATCTAAGCAAGTTGCTGGATTGTAGATTATATTATACAGCATTCCTTTTAAATCTAAGGTGAAGCAGATTAGAGCATGATAATGTTTTATTTATCCACCTGCACACAGAATGAGAACACCAGATGTGCAGCAGGAGAACATGATGATCTAATTCAGGACATTGTAATTTTCTGGGGCTTCACAAGTTCATAATCTATGCAAGTTATTTATTCAGGTAAATATAAGAGATGGAAGATGACAACCCCCCAAAAATTTAATAACTATATAATGACATTTGCAACCTATTCTCTCATAAGGCTCGTCTAATTTAATTTTCCATTATTTATGTACCAGTATATAAGTTTTTCATGTGATGAAATGTAATTGAAATACTTTACATAACCATATCTCCATTGGTAATTAAGAGCAAGATCATGTCTTGACTTACTCCTAGGAAGGTCCCTTTTAGAGACTGTCACTAAGAAGTACTTTGTAAAGTCTTATTTTGGATAGCATGTCTCATTTAATTTGATATATTTCTTTAAAAAAAATAACGAAACAAAAAAAATATTTCTTAAATATTACACTTATGTAAACAATACTACTGCTCAGTTCTACCCTATTCACACAAGCAAACTTTAAACACACACAAGCCATATTACAAAAGGGTATTTTAACATTGAAGCAATTGTTTCCCATTATTATTAAAATCAATTCTGAGGTGGAGCCTTGCTAATGTGCAGATCATTCATCTGTATTCTAGGGAAAATAATCAAATGAGCAGCTTAGATTAGGCAGAGAAAGGCTCGGCGCTCACTTTGTGTTCCTTAGGTTCTGCTTCGGGACATGTACGGTTCCTGGGTGAAAACTCGAGCTTGGGCCTGTGCACATCCAATGGCTCACAAAGCGGCTCGGGAACTGGCTCAGGAGCTGGCTCCGGAACACACAACTCGTGCTGCTGTTGCTGCTCCTCCGGGTCCCTGTGCAAACTGTGCCTGCTGCTCTTTTTCCTCTTCTCCTTCTTCCTCTCGTGCCTCCTGCGGGACGCTTCGCTGGCCTGGAACTCGTGCAGCAGGTCCCCGCACAGCGAGGACTCGAAGAGCTCTCTGCCGTTCTGGTAGGTCTTGATGATCTTCAGCTTGATCTCGGGAGAGCTGGTTTTCTTGGGCGTGGCGGGCGGCTGTGGATGGGGTGGGGAGGTGATGATGGTGGCTAAGGAGGGAGGAGGCGAGGAGGGGAGAAGCAGCGGTGGAGGAGGGGGCAGTACGGACGGGTTCATGTGAGGTGGAGGAGGGTGAGGGTGAGGGTGATGGTGGTGGTGGTGGTGTTGCTGCTGCTGCTGCTGTGGCTGATGATGAGGGTGATGATGATGTGTAGCGGAAGGGGAAGAAGGGGAAGGGGGTTTCTCCTGCACAACAGGGGCTCTCAACACAGTGTTCTCTCCTTGCAGCAGGCAATGATCGCTGTAGCTGCGAATGGCACTGTAGCCGTTTGCAGAGCCATTGGGGAACTGAGAATACATGGCGTACTTGGCCTGCGGCTCATAGAGGCTGACATTGGGCGGGTAGCCATTGGTGACAACAGGCAGGTCTTCTGCAGCTGAGGGGGGATAAGAGAAACCCGACTCCAGGGCAGTTTCGTAGGCAGACGGCCCCCCGTCTTCCCCATTGTCACTCCCGGCATCATACACGTCCTCCTGGCGGATGTTAGCCGAGTCAATGAGTTGAGGTGGTTGCTGAATTGTGTTTCCCATGATCCCTTGCATGAAAGAGAAGGAGAAATCCATTGTTCTGCTCCAGCATCCTTAACTTTCCCTTTCTCTTACAGGGCCTGCAAGAAACACAAATGAAGATGACAAAAAAAAACAAAGGAAACATTTCAACATGCTTGTCAATCAGAGAGTGGGTTTGAGTTAATAATTCAAGCCTTAATTTGGATTTATAAGAAAATAACATTTCATAATGGAAAAAAACAAACAGCAACCACAGTAGGTTGGAAGGAATAAAATAATGCCTTTCCTTTTTATATAAAAAACAATGATGCATGAAAGCAATATAATTTCACGTGACAAAAATTATAGCAAAGACGATTACAGTATATGGCAAAGTACTGTATTTATTCATGTCTTGTTTCAAGGTGATACTGATATCAACTGATAGCTCTTTGTAGTACACATTATATGTTTGTTTGTTTATAAAGAAAAATACAACAGTTAAGCACTCTCTAGCCAGACAGGTTTTATGAACTTAAGGTCACATTACTCCTGTTCAGGAACAGGCAGTCCTGGTCCTGAAAGGCCAGTGTGTCTACAGTTTTCATTTTGACTCATTCTCTCTTATTGACATAAACAAGATCATTATTGATCTACTGGCCCAATACATTACATCACTGGTAATTACATGATTGGTAATTGGTCACTTAAATACATCTCCCAGGTCATCAGATGCTGCTGCATTGAGAGCTAGCAAATCAGCACGTACACATGCACCCCAAGACCAGGACTGCCCTTTCCTGGTTTACTTACTTACACTTGAGCAGAAACTAATATTAAAGTACTCAATTAAATGTCCTATTAAATTAAATTTCCTATATCTATTTTTCTTAATTTTGTATATGCTACACATTGTAATCTTATATCATATGCATTTGAAAACTGTCAAACTATCATGGAGGATTTTAAAATGCAGTACTGATATGCTTTCATTTTCCCCCCCCCCACATTTAGCTGCAACTGCAGACAGGAACAAGTCGTTAGCTCCACAACACATTAAATATAAAGGGCATTTCTGCAGGTACTGATACTAAGAAACATAAACATCAGCCTTATTTGAATAGTTATCGCCTTCAAAACACTAAAGTAAAAAGCAAAGTGTGCCGGTAGCCATATCACCCTGCAACTCACAACTGGCAACCCAGTTGGTCAGTACCTGGATGGGAGACCTCCTGGGAAAAACCAAGGCTGCAGCTGGAAGAGGTGTTAGTGGGGCCAGCAGGGGAGTGCTCACCCTGCAGACCATCTGGGTCCTAATGCCCCAGTATAGTGACGATCCTTTGGATGAGATGTAAAACCAAGGTCCTGACTCTCTGTGGTCATTAAAAATCCCATGGTGTTTCTTAAAAAGAGTAGGGATGTAACCCCGGCGTCCTGGCCTAATTTCCCATTGGCCCTTACCAATCATGGCTTCCTAACAGTCCCCTTCTATGAACTGGCTTCATTACTCTGCTCTCCTCCCCACTGATAGCTGATGTGTGGTGAGTGTTCTGGTGCACTATGGCTG